GGTATGCCTCCTATATATTATATGGTTTCAAGATGCAAATTTAGAAACTTCTTTTGGTGACATATTGAAACTAGTTATTTTCTTTTCATTGAAAATTGGGCTTGGCTTCCCGTAGAGATTCAGATAGCTAACTGGAATGTGTATCCTTTCTTAACGACAGATACACATTTTTGAAATTTTGAGAGGAGAAAAATTAATAATTTAATAAATTTCGCAATGCTAAATTTGGTAACCTTTGGTGTGAGGACGGTTTGTTGACATAGCATTGTGTGCAGGTATGTGTCAATAATTTAAAAAGCAGTAAAGGATAATGTAGTGGTAGATCGCGAAAACTTTTTTCTCCCGAATGTGGGGGCGCAATGTCAAGATAACGATAGCTCGCTTACCTCATTTTGACAGAGCGTATTGGTTGGGAACTGCTGAGGATGTGATTTAGGGATGACATCGGGGCGGGACACTTTTTTCTCCCGAATGTGGGGCGCAATGTCAAGATAACGGCAGCTCGCTTACCTTATTTTGACAGAGCGTATTGGTCAAGTGCTACTGAGGATGTGATTTAGGGATGACAACAGACGAGACGGGACGGGGCGGGGTCCTTGCCCCGTTTAATACCCGTTAAATTTTTTTTTTTAGTTTTTAATAATTTATTTTTATTGTCCATATTCATTAGATTTAGACAAATAATTTTAGTTGCTATTTTCTATTAGAACTAATAAAAATTTTAATTTAAAGTATTGAATTCTAAAAAAAATAATGGGGTGGAGCGGGGACCACGTTACCCGTCCCCGCCCCGGGGCAAAATTCCCCATCCTGTTACCCGTTTAAGTGGGTTTTCCCCGCCCCGTTCGAGGTGGGGGCCCGTGGGTATCGGGCTTTTTTGCCATCCCTACGTGGAAAAGAGGAAGGAAAAGTGGTTGGGAGAGAGGAATGAAGTGGGTTGGTGAGGTGCGTAATGAGGAGGGCAAATTGGGGATTATGCTGTCTTATGGCCTGACTTGTGCACAGCAATTGTCAGATTTTGTGGAATTAAAAAAATCATCAACAATCCAAAAATTGCTATCTAACGGTCCGAATTGTAATGTTAAGTCCTTCCAAACACACTCTTAATAAAATTTGTAGCGGTAATGATTACCCTAACATATATGCATGTTCATGCATCATATTTAGAAATCTACATGTGTAAAGCCTTAAATGGAAAATGAGCTTCTACGTGTGTTGAAGATAAAATTATTTCGATGATTCGATCCATTCACCCTCTGTCTCTTTCGGACAAGCAGTGGACGGGTAATTATGCTATCCTGACCGTTGGATGTGCACAGAGCATCCAACCGTTTTAACGACATTCTAGTGTCTTATCTTTTTCTTCTCAAGATCCTCATAGAATTCCATGTCCACTCACTCTCTTCCCCAGTTTTCGGATCCTTCAAGCACCAAATTTGCTAATCTTCTTCCCGAAGAATCTTTTCTTGATCGTTTTCTTTTTCGGGGAATTTAAATTGATTTCCGCCAAGAACTGAAAGACCAAAGACTTTTTTAATTCTTAAAAAAAAGGGAAATCCAGAATTTGACTAGAATCAGGCTGTTTTTGAGATTTTGGGACTGAATATCGACAATTTGATCCAAACCATATCAATATTTTCTCTGTTTTGTCAGTTTTCATTTGGGTTTGATTTGGATGTTTTTGATACATTGATTATTCGCATAAATATGATTTCTTTGAAGAAAGGGGTTCTTGCAAAGCTTCTCGAAGAGATGGAAATGGAAGAAAAGGGTTTGGACGATGTGCAGAAACCTGTATTATTACAAATCAGAAGCATAATTCCTGTACTGGAAGAAGGTAATTTATGGCCTAATAGAGGATTTTTCTTAAAGGTTTCAGATATGGCACACCAAATGTTTGTTTCTTTGCCTCAAGAAGAGGATGAGATGATTTTAGGTAACAAATTAAAACTTGGGCAATTTGTATATGTGCAAAAGTTAGAGAAGGCCACTCCAGTTCCGTTGCTTAGAGGCATAACCTCTGTTCCAGGGAGGCATCGATGTGAAGGAACTCCTGAAGATATTGTTTCACCAGGAAAGTTGGAGAAGTTTCTTCAGGCATCTAATGTTGATTCAATCGTCGAAAAGGGTGTCATTTTGGAGAAAAAGATATCTGATAGTTCATCTGATTCAAGCAAGATTGCGCAAGCGTTATCTGATTCAGAGTCATTAAGAAAAGGAAGTGAGGGCTTCGAGGGTAGATCTCGAAGAAGAATCCGCTCTTTGAGCGCTTCAAAAGCCCGTCCAGGAGGAATCAAGACAGAGAAATTCCATACTGGGATACCTTATCCTGAGAAGAAAAGCTGTAATTTTGGTGCCAAAGCAAAAAAAAGTAGGCCAAGTTCTATTGATAATGGTAGTGATACAGATAGTGTGATATCATCTGCCTCATCAACTCACACATCAAAGAGAAGAAGCTGGACAGAGTCAGATATTTTGCGAGTCAAGGAAATTTTTGATTCTTCAGTTGGCAAGCCTAAAATTAGACCAACAGCTCGCAGTCGTAGCACAAATGTGAGTTTCTAGTTCTTCTTTATCTATTTTTCTGGAGTCGGATTTTAAATTTGCAAAGGGCTAAATGGTGTTTGATATTTGGTAAATTAGCAATTTAATGGCACTGGAAAAGGCTGCAAGGGCTAGACCTTAAAACCATTGAGTATTTTTGAAACATAAAGAGGTGCAATTAATGAATTTGTGCAGCATATATTTTTCTGGAAAAAAGAGAGAGACTTTTGATAATGAGGTTTAGCGATGCATTTCGATCCCCAAGTATCGTATCAAAATCAGGTGGTCATGCTTGCTAAAATCAGAAGAGTAATTGGTGGAAATTGGCTATACAATATTACGAGTAACGTGAATTATTAGCATGTTATAGATTTCACTGCACATTGATAATTCGACCCTAGCATTCTAACTATATTGGTATAAACAGATTTCACCCATTTGTTCTGGGAGGTACGATAGCTCTGATGACAATTCGAGTTCAACGCCAAAAAGAAGAGATGTTGCTTTGGCTAAAAGAGTGGTTAAGGTTTCCAACAAAGGCCAAACTCCTGTATCAAAGGTTGATAACGTGCAGATGTCAAAGTCATTATCCAGTTCAGTCTGTGACAGAAAAGGGGCAGAATCCAGAATATCTTGGAGCTCCCTTCGATCAAGCTTAGTGAAGCTTGGCAAGGTACAAGAATCTAGAAAATATATTTCATGATATTCATGCATATATTCAATTGTTGCTAAGAAATAATGTTTGTGAGTAAAACTTAAATTCCTTGCTCTGCAGAATCAAGTAATTTATTTTCACGACATGTATGTTAATTGAATGTTCACAAATAAAAAAAAATTGGACTATAAGGAGCCTAATCATATGGTTTTGGCAAAATATTAAGTACTTTTAAGTTGGTTAAACGTAATATTTAACCACACATTCCTTATCCTCACAACTTCACCTACCTTTTAGCTACACTTTGGGATCCACTGCTTACAATCACTTAAAAGCCTAGCCAAGCAAGCGCCTATTCTCTCTACCACAAATTTTTAGGTGTATTTTGGGTTCAATGGTACAGTGATTGTACTATACTTATAGGTCACTCTTTAACATTTCTACATATATCAAAAGATTTTGAGGGCTATTTTTTGTGTGTGAAAGAGATTTGACAGAAAAAAACTTGTATTATTGTCTCCATTATAGTGAAAACTTTTAGCTTTCCCATTGAGGATGAATTATTATAAATCTATGTATGCTTCATGCGTTTTTTATTTCCTTTTTAATTTTTCTCTCTACAGTAGGGATTAGAGTTCAATCCATAGGAAATAAATCATGAATTTTATTGCCTGCACTGCAGGAGGTTGTGAGACAAAGAGACGTTGCTCTGCTTGCTGCTGCTGATGCTTTGCAAGAAGCTTGTGCCGCTGAAAGATTGCTCAATTCTTTAAGGTGAGGAAACACACACTTATCTATATTTTTCACAAAGATTGATTTCCCTTTCCCATGAACAAGACATAATGATACTGTCTTGCAAGAGGCAAAAAGTAAGCGATGTTACATTGTCTTGATTTTCATGAAGTTCATCATATAAGAATCTTTATAAACTAGGTTATTTTTAGAGCTTCTTTAAATTGAAAGTGGAATTCATCATGTGTTTCTTTCCTTTCAATTTGCTCCGGTTTCTTCCATTTCTTCATCTTGTTCAGATCCAACTTTTCCCATTACACGAAAATTTTTGAATCAAAAGAGTGATTTCAAGAAATAAAGTATCATTTTCGTGAAATGCCATATTCTATGCTTTTAATCAGTGAGGCGACAATTTCTTTTATGCTTAACTATTATCACTTTCGTCCATTATCTAACCAGTATTCTGTATAGCATATTTTCGGAGTTCCATTCAGCAGAAGGAGATGATCTGCAACCTTCTGTAGATAAAATTTTGGATCTTCAAGATGATTTATTGCATAGTGGGCTGATAATGCAATCACTAACAAACATAAGTCCAATTAAGACATCAGAAACCGAATTCCGTGGGACTGATTCAATCAAGGAAACATTAAATATCGCTCTTGAAAGAAAGAAAAATGCTGCTACATGGATAAAATCGGCCGTGGCTCTTGATCTTTCCCCACACAATTTGAACCTCGCTTCAATGCCTAATCCAACAGCTTCCACAAAAATGGTGAAAAAATCAAGTCCATCAGTTCGGAGTACTAAAACCAAAGGTGCATGTATCATTAGAAAGAGTAGAAGCAGTGTCAATGTTCCACTTGTGTTGTCATCTGATAGGGATGACGAGCATGAATGGACTAGGGGAAGTGCTTTATATGCCGCTGCTGACCTGGCTACATTGTTGCAGGACGAATGTCGGAAATTGTTTTTGAGTGGTGTAGAGAAATACTTAGATGAAGTCGAAAGAAAAAGCTCGTCAATGGAATCTGATAATCACATAGCTGGGATGATGTATAAAGGTTAAAAGGGTGAGTGACTGGTTTGACATGATTGTAAATAAAGAAGGCGAACCCCCGAACCCAAACATAAAGGATGGCTTCACAGAAGGTTCAGGTAACTTGGAAGATTCTGCAAATGAAGCTTATGGGAAGGTTAAAAACAAAATATATGGGATTCTTCTGAAGCATGTAGAGAGGACTGCAATGGCTTATGCAAGTAACAATGAATAATGTGGCTATCGGCATAATTTTGGGAAGTTTAAGCAACGAGGTACTTCATGGAAAAAATCTTTGGGGTCGGTTCAGGCTTCTTAGATAGTGCCGAGACTGCCTGTATGGTATTTTACAATGGCTCCTAGTCCGCGTAAGGCTGTGTTCTAACATGTAGGCATAGGGACAGGCGATTAACAAAAACAACTAGCAAAAATTGTAGAATTGTTTCCAGATCTTTGTAAATTTTGTGAGATAAATTATATAATAGCTTACATTCAGGTTAGACATTGGTTGTAAAATGATAAGAGTATGCCTAATGTATATACACTGCTTTGAAACACAGATTTCATCATTCTCCAATTCTTTATTATATTAGTTCTCCTTTTGGCTCGTGAATTTTACTTCTGCACATGAGAAGACGATGAATTTATGGAACAATATCTGCACCTTAAGGAAATCAAAAGAAAATTGTATGGATGGAGCACCCAGGTGATCTCAGAAAATTTGATATCAAGTTTGGAGAGTATAGCTTATGTCTACTCTAACCTTCTAGAATGTGGGTTTCATAATTGCTATTGGGAGCAGACTTTCGATTATATTTGTTTCATTTCCTTCTTTTGTTCCATTTAATCTCGATATTTGGTAATTTGAATCAATGAGTTTGTTGATCAAATCAATTTGTGACATTGATGCACGACTCAACGAATCTTGAATTGTTAATTTCTAGTATTCCATGTGAATCAATGGATTTTGAATTGGTGTTCTTGATTTCTTCATATTTGAGCTGCATCACTTGCTCTTTTGGCTCTCTGCATCACTTGCTCTATGGAACTTTTTTTTGAAGTTTTCTTTTTGGTTAACTAAAGAAAATTTATTAAAAATACTTAAATTATCGGGCCTTTGTGGGCCTGGCCCAACACCTCTATCCTTTCCTTATGGCAGATGGTTACTTGAGTTATATCATTCTTCCATTTCCTATTCAAACATCTTTATCTCTAATTTGACGCAATTGTTGTCGATTAAACGTGTCAAACATTTAAAGACAATATGTTTGGTCAACTAATTCAAAGAGACCTATTTGTAAATGCTGGTATAAGTTGGTACAAGTTGGCAAGTGGTCAACATTAATTTAAGGGAAAATTATAATGTTGGTCCCTAATGTATTCTCCAAATAGCATTTAGGTCCTAATTTTGAAAAAAAACTTTCTTAATAAATTTGACACTTGAGGATCACGTGATAATTTAATAGAGATTTAAACTATTGGCTTAAAGAAAGATTGTTCGACTATAGTAAAAAGTCGAATAATAAGACCAACTTGCTCCTCTAAAAGATCGGGGGTCAACTTGTAAATGAGGTAATCATATGCAAAATTTCCTTAAAATTATTTTTGGACTAGTATCATAAATCCTTTTGAGTAGACAATTATAATCTAATATATTGTTGAATTTGCAATCCTCGAGATTTGAAGTATTACTATTACACAGAAGTTCTAGTTATTGTTTCTTGGAAGATAATTTTTCGAAGTTGGTTGTTACTTGTTAGGGTAAGGGACAATAAAGAGTTGTAGGCTTGTAAAATGGAAAAATTTATAAATAAAGTGTATACTTTACACCAATTCAAAAATCAGGTTTATAGTTTGAAAACTCAAAAATCAGGTTTTTTTTTTTAATTTTTATTTATGAAATAATAAATTATTAAATCAATTTATTATTAAATATTTAATTCTAATATAATATAATTAACTCATCCCAATGTACCACCCATATCGCTCCGAGTACTATTCCGGTGACCATTCCGACCATCACTCTTATCCGACGATAGTTTCGGCGACTGCTCCGATTCCGACAATTATTCCGGTGACCTGCTGGTCACAGATTTACAATTTACGGTCACAGTTCAAAAATTTTATAGGTCACAATTAATTCGTTGGTCACAAATCAAAATTTATAGGTCACACAGTCATAAATTTCCAAATTAATTGGTCGCATATTTTTTTACGGCCACAGATAAAAAAATGCTTGGTAACGAATTATATTTTTAGTCACAAATTACCAAATTTTAAAGACAGATTATTTTATTGGTCACGGATCAAAAAATTTATATGTCACGGGTCACGCGTTTTCAAATTTGTTGATCACAGATTATTTTTCTAGTTACAAATTATCAATTTTAAAGTCACAGTTCAATAGTTAGGTCACAGACACCAAAATAAACGACCACCGTCGTTGACTCGGCCACAACAATAACCAAAAACGACCACTCCACCATCAGCAAGATCCACCAACATCGCAGCCGCTACATGGTTTGTCCCACTACACCACACGGCCGCGGCCGCAACTGCAGCAGCCACCAACAACCACAACCACCAATTCACTTCTTTGAATCCGATCTGCAACAACCACAACCAGATTACATTCCCCATACCATCTCACACACAAAGCACCCACCACAACAACCACCATCACCATTGTCGACCACCATACCCACCGCATAATAGATGAATAAAAATGAAAAACGCCCAAAAAAATCTAGGAGGTGCTGTAGATTCGAGTCGCAGCAGAGCTCTGCCGGTAGGGGTGGGCGTGGGTTGAGTTGGGTCGATTTTTGTCCCAACCCAAACCCAACCCAACCCGATTGGTTTGGTAGGAATTCAACCCAATACAACCCACGAAAAAATCCCAACCCAACCCAACCAAATGTGGGGTGGGTCGGGGTGGAACGACCTTTCAAATTTAATCTAATATAATATAATTAACTCATCCCACATGCACCACCCATATCGCTCCGAGTACTATTCCGATGACCATTCCGACCATTACTCTTCTCCGACGATAGTTTCGGCGACTGCTCCGATTCCGACAATTATTCCGGTGAGGTCACAGATTTACAATTTACGGTCACAGTTCAAAAATTTTATAGGTCACAATTAATTCGTTGGTCACAGATCAAAATTTATAGGTCACAGAGTCATAGATTTCCAAATTAATTGGTCGCATATTTTTTTACGGCCACAGATAAAAAAATGCTTGGTAACGAATTATATTTTTAGTCACAGATTACCAAATTTTAAAGACAGATTATTTTATTGGTCACGGATCAAAAAATTTATATGTCACAGGTCACGCGTTTTCAAATTTGTTGGTCACAGATTATTTTTCTAGTTACAAATTATCAATTTTAAAGTCACAGTTCAATAGTTAGGTCACAGACATCAAAATAAACGACCACCGTCGTTGACTCGGCCACAACAATAAACAAAAACAACCACTCCACCATCAGCAAGATCCACCAACATCGCAGCCGCTACATGGTTTGTCCCACTACACCACCACGGCCGCGGCCGCAACTGCAGCAGCCACCAACAACCACAACCACCAATTCACTTCTTCGAATCCGATCTGCAACAACCACAACCAGATTACATCCCCCATACCATCTCACACACAAAGCACCCACCACAACAACCACCATCACCACTGTCGACCACCACACCCACCGCAAATAGATGAATAAAAATGAAAAACGCCCAAAAAAATCTAGGAGGTGCTGTAGATTCGAGTCGCAGCAGAGCTCTGCCGGTAGGGGTGGGCGTGGGTTGGGTTGGGTCAGTTTTTGCCCCAGCCCAAACCCAACCCAACATTGTCGGTTTGTTCGAAATCCAACCCAACCCAACCCATGTAAATGTTGAAACCCAACCCAACCCAACCCAATTATGTGTCGGTCGGGTTGGGTTGGGTTGGTCGGTTTGAATAATAAATTTCAATTTTTTTGACACATGTTGGAATTAAATGAATTGAGATCCTAGCGGGACAAGTAGTATAGCTTGAGAATTGTATGTGAACATTTCTCAATCTGATGTGAGACTAGAGACACGGCATCATAGCTAATATAGCAAGGACATAAAAAAAATATGAAGAGAACAAGAGTAGTGAGACGTAATTGAAAATCGACATTTATGTTAAATTTGATTATGAAATAAGAATTATCGAACGAAATGACTTGACAAGACAAATATGGACATAGTGCAGTTTTAGATTAGAGATTGAACCAAACGCGAACGATGGATCGAATTGAAGAAATTCGAAGTCACTTCATTTAACGTACTTCATTTTTTGAAATGTCTTGTGATCATCCATAGTGATTCATACTCTATAATGTAATTTTTTATGATACAACGTGACTTTTTGACTTTATTGAATATAAAAAAACTAGTAAAATAATTACTTAATTTAGCTTCTCTACTTCATCCCTAAATCTCATGCTGGTATTCCTTATCTTCAAGAAATTTTTAATTGAAATCCTCGATCAATTTCGAAAGCTCCAGTTTTAATAATAAAGACTTGCTAACAAAAACTAATTCTTAATACAATTTGAAAATAATTGAGAAAACTATTCGTCGTTTTTTCAATTTAACGTCTTTTTTTTTTTTGGGTTGGGTCGGGTCGGGTTTAGGGTGCCGACCCGCGACCCGACCACCCAACCCGAAACCCGAAAATCGACCAAAAAATGCAAAAAACCGACCCAAACCGGTTGGTTGGGTCTGTTCGGTCTGTTTCGTTGGGTGGGTCGATTTTTTGCCCACCCCTATCTGTCGGTGTTTCTAAGGCGACGCAACTGCTACGTCGCTTCGAGCAGTGAGGCAACGCTATTGCTGCGTCGCTTGCAGCAGTTAAATAAGGGCGTTCGGAAGTCGGTAGAGAGGTTGAGAAAGAGAAAGAAGCTAGGTCCTCGAGGCGGCGCTGCTGCCGTCGCTTGTCATTGTCGATTGGGGTAGGTTTCAGCCCAATGAGAGTGGGAACGAGCGTCACCACACCATCGCTGACACCTTGCGCTGTAGTCTTCATCGACGGCGGCCACGTGCGAGGAAGAGACGAGAGAGAGAGGCGATGGGAAGATAGAGAAAGAGGGAGATGAAAGTGGTAAATGATTTTTAGGGTTTGAAAGTGAAATTTGTATATATAATAAAAAAAACAAATATCTGAAATTTGAATAAAAAACTTCCCACACATATTTTTGTACTAGTATCTTTAAAAGCCTACATTTATATAATTTCCTCCTTGTAAAATACCATCTAAGCATATAATACAAAGTTCAGGACAAATAGCTCGAATGAAATAAAAAGTTGCCAACTTGTTCTTTCTAAAGATTAAGAATCAACTTGTTACTTAGGCAACTAATTTTGCGAGATTTCCATATAGTAATATTTGAGCGAGTATCAATGTATCATCATATAGGGTTGGTGGGATATTTAGCATTTGTTTGGCAACATTGATTTGAAAATTATTTTTTCTTATACTTATTTTTAACTACACATTCTTCCAATAAAATAATTTTGTAATCGTGTTCATAACTTTTTACTACTTTTTAACCACGCATTCTCCAAAGAATTTCTTTTCACTTCAATTCATCTCTTCCAAACAAATACTTAGCTCCTTCATAACCAATGCCTCTATTCCCATTTATTGCCACTTTTACAGCTATATGCCACTGAATGTCGCCATTGAACATTTTTAGTAGTCAACAAAGTGAAAACATTGTTGAGTTTGTAGTCCTTGCAAAGTGAAAACATTGTTGTTACAAAAGTGATTTGAAATTAGCTGTTTTATTTTGAAAGATGTTTTTTCCATTGTTGGTGGTTAGGGCAACGGACAAATGATTCATAACAACAAACGGGCAAAACTCATGTTTAGATATAGAACTCCAAACTTTGTAGATGAGTTTGATCATCTAAAGTGGCAAAACCTCGCTTTATTGGCTCGTATGTCTTTGCAATTTGTCTCATTGGAAAGAGTACAATATCTCTAAGCATGTATTACAGGTATGGCTAGTCGTTTCAGGTCGGCTTGGAGGAATGTTGATTCGATTTTCGATTGGCTTGGACATATCGAAAAGTTCATCGAATTTAAAAAAAAGTTATTTTCAAGAAAAAGTTCTCATGAACTTGACATATTGAATCAACTCAAATCGATTTAGATCTATTTATTTCTCTTGTCGATTAAATTTCAAGTTGATATTTCATCAAATCCAAATTGATGGTTCGATTTTGAAATATATCTAATTCAACCAAATCCAACCCGTGATCACCTTGGTTACAAGAATTAGGTAAAAAGGCTCGTATGCTATTTAAAACACACGAAACACACCCTAGAACGAGATCATCCTTGGCGACATTTTTTAATACTATTTTTTTTTTATTAAAATCCTTTTTTTATTCACAAATTAGTACGAAATGACTTCTTGATACTGTAAGATACTGTTTTTCAAGAAAGGGCAGGACAATAGCAGAATCCAAATTTGTGAACTTAACCATTTTACTCAACTCAGATTCCTAACCCAAAACACAAGCACAGAGAAATTTCGAGAAATTAGTCTGTTTAATTTATAAGTTCTCAAAAAAGAAGGAATCCCAAAATATAACCGACTGAAAAGATCTCCACAATTTATTGCCTTTTCGGGAAATTCGAGCAAATGGGTTGTTCTAAAAGATTGGAAACTGCTATCTTTCTGGGGCTTCTTCTTTCGATTTTTGCTGAGTCAGTGGTGGGTCGGTTTGTGGTGGAAAAGAACAGCTTAAGGGTGACGTCACCGGACAGCATCAAGGGCACTCGTGACAGTGCAATTGGGAACTTTGGGATTCCACAATATGGAGGTAGCATGGCAGGGACTGTGATGTACCCGAAGGAAAATAGAAAGGGCTGCAAGAATTTTGATGATTTTGGGATTTCATTCAAGTCGAAGCCTGGAGCTTTGCCTTTCTTTGTTCTTGTTGACCGTGGAGGTACATATGCTCTTTTTGTGTAATTTGAAGTTAGATTGTAGTATATGTTTCAATTTTGAGCTTAATTTCTGATTTTTTGGATTACCCTTTTGCTAATTTTTGTCCATGAAAAATGAAATATTTGATGCGTTTACGCGTTCGAGGTTAAATGTATTATTTTTTGGGATATCCTTTTACTGAATTTAGTTAATGCTAGTTTGAAGTTGACTTGGAAGCTGTTTGCGAGCTGCCCTTCTGGTAAAGTTCAATGTTATTGCAAATTTATGGATTGGGATATACTTTTGGTCAAGTCTGTTATTCACGCCAGATAGGGTTATCTTTCTTGCGCAAGAGATTTTGCAATTTCAGCTTGTTTTGTTAATAAATTGTTTTTTTAAACATTTGAGTTGGATTTAAATTAGATTGAGGTCTTGACGGAAAAGCTGTACTATGAGACTATTGCAGTCTATACCACTATGATTTTTTAATCTGAGGTTGATTTATATTGTCATTGGTTTCTAATGTACTTTTTCTTTATTCTAAGATCTGTTCTCTATTTCCCTTCAGAGCAGGATATTCATTGTTATCTATGTTTCTACTGGAAACTTTTGTAGAATTCTTTTGATGAATTTGGGCTTCAATCTTCTGCAATGCAGATTGCTTTTTCGCTCTAAAGGTTTGGAATGCCCAAAATGCTGGTGCTGCTGCAGTTCTAGTGGCTGATGATGTTGAGGAAGCATTAATAACCATGGACTCACCTGAAGAGGATCACGCATCTGCAAAGTATATCGCGAACATAACAATACCTTCAGCACTGATCGAGAAAAGTTTTGGTGAAGATTTGAAGAAAGCAATCAGTGGAGGTGATATGGTAAATGTGAATCTAGATTGGAGAGAGGCTGTCCCGCACCCAGATGATCGGGTGGAGTATGAACTGTGGACTAACAGCAATGATGAGTGTGGAATTAAGTGTGATATGTTGATGGAGTTTGTTAAGGATTTTAAGGGTGCAGCCCAAATTCTTGAGAAAGGTGGTTATACTCAGTTTACACCTCATTATATAACTTGGTACTGTCCACAGGCATTCACCATAAGCAAACAGTGTAAGTCCCAATGTATCAACCATGGAAGATATTGTGCTCCGGACCCCGAACAAGATTTCAGCTCTGGTTATGACGGAAAAGATGTAGTTCTTGAGAACTTGAGGCAGCTATGTGTGTTTAAAGTGGCCAACGAGAATAAAAAGCCATGGGTTTGGTGGGATTATGTTACTGATTTTCAAATAAGATGCCCCATGAAGGAAAAGAAATACAACAAGGAATGTGCTGAGGGTGTTATCAGTTCCTTAGGTAATTATTTGCCTTTCTTTTATTGATCTCAATCACTATCGATGGACAATTATATGTCACTGTTGCTCACATGCAGGACTTGATCTGAAAAAGATCGAAAAGTGCATGGGTGATCCTAATACTGACTCAGACAATCCTGTTCTGAAAGAAGAGCAAGATGCTCAGGTGAGTGTGTGTACTTATCTATTTTGCGAAACCATATCAATGTTTCCCTTATATGTTTTTATTTAAACTTCTTATGTGATGGTAATAGTGCAAAATGTCTGAGATTTGTAGATTGGGAAAGGATCTCGTGGTGATGTAACCATATTGCCCACCCTCGTTGTCAATAATCGTCAATATCGAGGTCTGTCTGTTTATTAAAGCAGTTTTGTTGAGCAGCATGCATATATTTTTCTCTGATATATGATCTTTGCAGGGAAGTTGGAGAAAGGAGCTGTTTTAAAGGCTATTTGTGCTGGTTTTGAGGAAACTACAGAGCCATCCGTTTGTTTGAGTGGTGGTGAGATACTTAATTCCATTATATTGCAAATTTTGGATGATACGAGATTTAATAGATATTTATGAAGGCATTACCTTTTCAATTGCAGATGTTGAAACAAATGAGTGCTTGGATAATAATGGTGGCTGCTGGCGAGACAAGACATCTAATATTACAGCTTGCAAGGTGCTTTATCAATAACTTGCTATTTAGCATCTTTAGTTATTTGATGCTCAACATTTTTACATTCTCAGGACACATTTCGAGGAAGAGTGTGTGAATGCCCTGTGGTAAATGGTGTGCGGTTTAAGGGGGATGGTTACAGCTCTTGTACTGGTATGTAAATTATTTTTCTTTATTCACTTTTGCAAAGCTAATAGTTTCTTTAGAACTCTCTACTATTTGTCAGAATTTTTTCTACTAGAAACATCTATTTTCTAGGAGCGTTTTACTGAGCCCATTTACCAAAATAAAATATCTTGCTTAATGTAACAGAATGAACATCACTTCTTTATGTAAAATGATAAAAGATGGAATAAACTAGAATATCTATATGTTTGTGTAACACATGAATGGTTGTGGATCGACACCACATGCATATAGTTAGTCTGCATCTTTATCTTCGTTCGAAGTTGGTTTACATGATTTTTGAAACCAAAATTAGTAGCATTGGACGTTTGGCTGAAGTCAGACCATTGATGAGCCCATGCTTTTGGCTCTTCTGCAATTCATTACACTTGAGACTTGAAGTACAGTGGTCATAATGAACCACATTTCTGTGCTATCATGAATAAATTGGTGTCATTCTTTTATTTTGTAGAACATGTTCTATAATATACCTTTATGCAAATACTAACAGTGGACTATTATCAATGTGTTTCATTTGTTTGCATCATCGGCTCTCAAAGAACTCTTTCACATTTACTTCTCCCCAGCCCTCCCTGCCCTTCTTTCATAAAGTATAGACAAAGTAGAGAAGAGGTATTCTTTCATTATAATTATGCTCGATGGCCCTTTATAGTCATGTTATGGGAGAATTGCAGTGGGGTCCTTAACTTTTGTGAAAATTGCAAATGGTCCCAAATAGGTATGTTAGGTGAGTCGGCTCAACCTCGCTTTGGGGTGAGCCAAGCATGGGCCAGCTTCCTTGAAGAAAATGTCATTTGGCTTGCCCCTAGATGGGGCTGGCGAACCCTCATTTTTTTTATTTTTTCTATTATAAAACCAAATATTTTATTTTTTAGCTTCTCGGCTTCTGGACAAGCTGACAAGCTAGTGAGTGGCTCATACGGAAAACCCAGCACAACTCGCCACATTACTCGCCTCTTGGGCGAGCCAATTCTGCTCGGCTTGTGTGTCGCCCCACTTAACATCTCCATTCCCAGAACCTTCTTTTTTGGCACTGTCCTCCCAAACCTTTGGGTAAAGTTCTAGGACTTTACCAGATTTTACCATGGGCAAAAATGTCTCCACATTTTCTCACTTAAAATGGAAAAAAAATGAAAACCTTTAATCCTTCCCAACACCCTCTGCCCCACCAGCACACCATCACCGGAGCCTCAGGGAAAAGATTGTGATGCCGAGGCTAAGACTGATAAAACCCAGAAAAATTGGTTCTGAACCAAAGGAAATGACTAGATCCAGAAGCATGATTTCGGTACTGGTGCTGGAGGTTGATCTGAAGCATGGCGGAAGCGGACATGGCCTGTAGTATTTAGAATAAAAAAGACCTTTATAAACTTAGAAATGGTAAAATCAGTGATTTCTAAGGAGTTGAGTTGCTAGAGAGAAATCGGTCAGGTTAGATTTCAACCATGCTGCCCCCTCCTGCAATGTCATTCGCTAATCCATGTTAGCACAACCAAATAATTCCACTGCCATTTCTTGAAAGATATTTGAGGTTTGGAAATAGTTTTGGTGGTAGGGGGATGGGTGTGGTTGGTGTTGGTGTTGGGAATGTGAAGGTGAAGGTGAAGGTGAAGGTGAAGATTTTCTTTTTGTTTTTTAAATTCTTTTCTTTCTTCTATTTTCATAAACATTGTGTAATTACTAATTATCCACCATTTGAACGGAATCCATATAAAACCTCGCTCTGCATTATTACCCTAAGAGGTTTGAGATAGTGGTGTTCGAAAAGATTGGGGACGCCCTCTTTTTCTTTGTTTTAGATAACTTCCATCTCTCTTCGGGCGTCTTTCTGGCTTCAATAAAGAGGAGGATGAAGTATGTAGTCACTTCTCTGAAGTTGTAAAACTCTGCTCTTCGATCTTATTAAATATTAGCGATTAATGTATAGTTATTTTAGTCTGGACTCTTTAAGCTTTCCTCCCATTTGCAGTAAGCAAGTAAATACATAAACGAAGATCAACTGAAATTTGAAAGGAAAGGAAAAACTTTCTATATGCCACTGCCCATGAATTTAATTGTTTGAGTATATCTTAATTCGGCATTTCCATCTCTTATATAAGAGTAGCTATAGTTGTTTGCTATAATTTGATATTTTTTTATGTTTTCCAGTATAATTTGCACTTATTTTACACGGTTAACATTTAACACAAATAAAAGAAAATCTTGTATTTGTCCCAAGAATCACATTAATGTTTTCTTGTACATGTCATTGTGCAATCTAAATACAGATTTGGAGATTGCAAAGTAGTCGACAGTTCTGTGATCTGAATACTAATCAGATTGTGAAATTGTTGTGGATGATTCTACATATTCGACGTTGAGCATTCAGAATCTTGCAATCTTCTATTTTGTTGTCTAAATATCTAAAAGAATGCTTCCCTCTGGTTTATAATGAGCTGATTGAGTTGTACGTATCATGTGCTCCATCAATATACAATTGAATGACTTCAGTTTCTTGTTTGGTCATCCTTTAATAATGGACTCTTTACAATAGACATTTAATTCCCAAAAATATCCGTCCCTAATGCATATGGTTTCTATGTAAGTTGATTACTTCTTGTAAATCTTATTGACAAGGATTTTCAGCTCAGGTAAAATTGAAATTTTTACATCAATTCCTACATTGTCAATTCACCTAAACTTGGTACAAGATCAAGATTCGGTTGCACATGGATCTTGCTTTGAATATGTAGCAAAGTATCATGCCTCCTGTTTGTCTTAGCTTTAAATAATCCTTCTTCAAGCATCTCAAGTTACTGTGATTAGACTGTATCTCAACTGAGTTTTCCATGTGCAGCAAGTGGGCCCGGACGGTGCAAAATCAATAATGGAGGCTGTTGGCATGAAACCCTAAATGGAATTACTTTCTCTGCCTGCATCGTCAGTATTTTTTTTCATTTTGCCTAAATTCTCCCCGATGAAATTTGGTTCTGAAAGAAATCTTAAAAAATATTTCAACAGGATAATGAAGAAGGAAAATGCACTTGTCCTCCTGGATTTAAAGGCGACGGTGTTAAAAGTTGTGAAGGTCAGAGTTTTAGTTTGAACTGAATTATGAAAACTGATTCATGTAGATGCACCCAATTTATTAGGATTGAGGCTTAGCTCATATTTTATATATCAACAGTATAGCAAGTTGTTGTCAAAAGCTTTGTTTAATCAGGCTCAATTTTAAATTGTATCTGGTAAAGTCCTGCAAAAGCCGATACCTGCTCAATTTTAGTGCTCGTTTGGTTTAGCTTAAAAAGTTGCGGTCAAAGTCAACAATTAATTTTAACCACACATTTTATGGAACCTACAACTTTTATCAACTTTTTAACCACACATTTCATCTAAACTTCTATTACAATATGCTAAAACTTTTATAAAAAGCTTTGTCAAACAACCCTTTATTATGCTGGATCTACTGGTCACTGGTGTGAAGTTGAATGTGAGTTTTGGTGTAACATGACATGGTTACTTTGGAAGAGGTATTAAGTTGATTCAAATGGTGCTATTCAAGAATAAGATAATGAATGGATGCCTACATAAATGGTATAAAATTGGTAATTCAAGAGTAAATGATGAATGGATGGTTAAATAAATTGCATGTTTGGAATGTAGTACTCAAAAGAATTGGACATTATGCTAAACGAGATTTCAACGTCTTTTACACCTGTAATACTGTCTAGTACTATTCATTCCTCTACCAAATAAGCCAAAATGTTATAATACTGGTGCTAACAAATCGAGCATTTCTTGATTACTGCATAAATTGTTTCCTTATTAACCGCTGATCTTGTATAATTTCTTCTGCCCGTACAGATATTGATGAATGTAAAGAAAAGAAAGCTTGCCAGTGCCCTGAATGCAGCTGCAAGAATACATGGGGCAGTTATGATTGCTCATGTAGCGGGGACCTGTTGTATATCCGGGACCACGATACCTGCATAAGTGAGATATCTTGCAAATTTTTGTTGCTTTGTGTATGCTTAAACAGCGCACATCCAATATCCTGTTTGCATGTGCAGGTAAGAGAGCTACTGAAGTCAAATCTGCTTGGGCTGCTGTTTGGGTTATTTTGATTGGATTGGCAATGGCTGGTGGCGGGGGGTATCTTGTATATAAATACAGATTGAGGGTAAGTTTCTTATGCACAATTTTTTGCGTATTAATCATGGTTTTTGCATCTAACTTTGACCATGAAAGTTTGAAGTTTCTGCAAGAATCTTGATAGTCACTCTCTTTTTGGGCCGTTTCGTTGTCTAAATATAATTAATTCTTAAACATAACTAGAGTAAACATGTTCATAACATAGTTCTACTGGAACTTTCAACAATGTTCAGCAAAATTAAGGTTCTATTGCAAATTTTATGGTTTCAAAATTTTCAGTGTGTTTTGTTTCCGTATCTTCTGAAATTGAAATGTTCCAAATCTTCAGACAGAGATTTCTAGGCTGCAACTCTAACCAATTTATGTGATAGAACTTGGAAAGAGCATGAAACTCTTATTTATCCTTTTCTCTTTCTTTCTGTGGGAAGAGAGACCGTCTCTCTTGTTCTTTTGTTAAACATGTGATTTGATGTTGCGAGGGTTCAAGTACAAGATTGAAGATACCTTCATTTTCAACCCTTGCCTGTAAATTGACATTTAAGCTCTTATTTTGGAACTTTAGTCGGTTCACCCACTACTGCTTTCATAGATGTAGAGTGAAGGGACAGGGACTAACTCGAAGTTCTTATCATAAACATATGACAATTGATTCGATACATTCTTTTTTTTGTACCCAATATTTTTGTGCAAGTCATCTCGAGTCTTTTTAAAAATAAGTTTGGGATATCAATTATGTAAGGAGGCCATTTTGTTGAGGCCATTTTGTTGTTCTTTTATGTTCGTTTGTTATTAGTTTGGGGTAGGGGAGTTCGTTAAAGCATGTTTCTTAGTCTGTTATACATAATTGAAGCATTTCTGTTGCTTGCTTAATCCTAAACCAATTTTTTTTCGTATGTTCTTACACTGGGTTGCATATTCAGTCATACATGGACTCGGAAATCAGGGCTATAATGGCACAGTACATGCCTCTAGACAGTCAAAATGAAGTTCCAAATCATGTTAGCGACGATCATGCTTAAAAGTGAAGCTCAATTGTTATTCTTCTGAAAGAGTTGCACGGGGATTCATACACCTTCCCCCTTTTGTCTCCAACGAAGGTTTTGAAGGTAGAATTATATGTCTTTGTAAAATTTGTTGGAAAATAAGTGAAATGAGAGATCATATTTTCCTGATGTTTCTTTCAAAACGTAACATGTGCTTACGCTTGTGTTTGGGGAACGGTAAAAAGAAGGGTTAAGATCGAATTATGTACACTTTAGCATGTGATAGGTTGTGCGTGTAATCGTGGGCATGTTTCTTTCAATGGATCTTCTTGGATGTATGGAAAGTCTAAATTATTAGTGAGAATTAGTAGAAAGTTTGGTTTTAATGAATATTTATCCTTGCTTCAGTGCCATGCTTTTTTTTTACTGCTTTTATGTAATCTTGGAATGACCAGGAAACGAATTTAATCTGTGAAAATAATATTTATCCTGCATTTGTGAAGCTTTGCATCCCAAGAAATTATCTATGCATTGATTGTAAACATTGAATCTTTGAATTGGTCGAAGTTTCTTTCTAGTTTGGAAACGAAGGTCGCCTCTTGGGATTCCATGTACCGATTTGCAATGAGAACCTCCCTCTCGTACAGGCACGTAAAGTGCCGAGGAATTCCTTCAAACATTTTTCCGTAGAAGGGGAAAAGAAAATATTTGCGTCTGTAAATATCTGTGTATTGCTCCATTATTATGATTCTTCAAGGAGTAAATTCATTCAAAAAAAGGAAGTGATTGCATTTTTATCACAAACCAACCAACAGATGTTGCCGTCGCCCTCGTTGAGCTCTCACGCAGTGGGTAAAACTCATTGCACCAGTTCAGTCCCCACGCTGCGGAAGCCATAGAATGCAAGAAGCCTGCCTGCCACCACAACATGAGTGGCTATATCATTTAATCGCAGTTTTGAACGATGAATAGATCTATGGTATTTAGTAATTACAGTAATTTATGTAAATGGAATATATAAAATAATAAATATATGATTTCAAGATAAGACACGTGCTTACTGCTTAGCATAAGATTTATATCGTTACAATTAATTTCTAAAGTAACATTATAAATTTCAGATTAACTCGTGAAAAATTTTACATGCAAGAATTTGTTTAAACAATTGCCGGTTAGACCCAATCATTAAATGGACAAAACGAAATAATTGTGATTTTGTTGCCTAACAACAATTTTTATTTTTGGGTGGCGTGGGGGGGTGGGGGGTGGGGTGTATAATATTATGTCATGAATTTAATAGTTAAGATTAACTTTGTTATCTACACACGTCCAAATTAGAAAGTACGTGTGTCAAAATAATTTATAGTTACTCGATGAAATGTTATGCCCTATATATTCTTAGGACTTGTGAAAGAAAAAAAGGGGAAATTGTTTAGTTTAAGGAAAGTTTTTACAGATACTATCAGTCTTAAGGTAACAAAGTAGTTTAATTAAGGAATATTGTTTATTCTTTCCATTAACATGCACTTAACGGCTACTGTTTATTTGAATTTCTTACCATAATCAACATGGAAATAAGATACTTTACTCCCAATTTTAACCTATAAATATGTACTTTCGTTCATTCACTTGTTCTCGCACTCTCTTTCAGAAATTATTCTCTTCTTCACACATTACACACAGTGAATATGTTTTCTCAAGAACTGAATTCATCAACATCAGGTCTTCGATACTTCGACATAGAGAGTTCCCAACTTGACTTGAACAAGAAAAGAAAGCGGTCTCATTTTTATCGCAAACCAACAGATGTTGAGTATTCAGCCCTCGCCCTCCTTAAGCTCTCACGCAGTGGCCAAAGTTTCTGCAACCGTCCAATTTCCATTCCCGACACGGTGGAAGCCGTAGAATGCAAGAATCCTGTCACGGTCGCCACTACAACCACCGCAAGAATGGCTACTTCAGCAGCCTTGGGTAATGTCGAGAATATCGAACATGGTTCTACAGTCATTATTGCTTCTCCACTGGCCCAGTACGCGCCTTACGGTTGTACCATGTACGGCGAGTCTTTTTCATCCTATCAAGCCCTAGATGGCTCCAAAAAAAGGCACCGTCATAGGCCGCTGATCACCACCACCAACTCCAACACACTTAAAATCTCTGCTCCAAACCCTAGCGGTAGGATTCACCAATGCTCCGCAAGAATGGCTACTTCAGCCTTGGGTAATGTCGAGAACATCGAATCTGGTTCTACCGTCATTATTGCGTCTCCACTGGCACAGTACGCGTCTTACGCTTGTACCATGTGCGGCGAGTCTTTTTCATCCTATCAAGCCCTCGGTGGCCACAAAACCAGGCACCGTCATAGGCCGCTGATCACCTCCAACAACTCTAACACCATTAAAGTCTCTGCTCCAAACCCTAGCGGTAGGATTCACCAATGCTTCAAATGCAACGAGGTTTTTAACACTGGCCAGGCGTTGGGCGGCCACATGCGGCGGCACTACGATGGAGTGATTGGCGGCGGCAAGAAAACCAATGTGATCACTTCCGAGGGCGGCGACTCTAGCGACTGCAACAGCAATGGGCGTACACCCCATGATTTCGATTTGAACCTTCCCGCCTCACCGGAAACTTGCTTGGGTTTGACTCTTTATTGTAGCGAGAATTTTTGAGCAGGAAAAAATTACAGCGCATGTATTTCGTATAGAGAAGTAATTTTAGGGTTCTTGTGGTACAGGAATTGATCCATGTAATCAAACGAAATTTGATTTTGTATCAGTTTGTATACTTCTTGGGTTAATAAAAATTTAGTTTCGCATATTTCCTCAGTTAACAAAAATTTCCTTCTGCAATCCAATTTCTTGTCACAATATATGTTCATACTACTCTTTTTGTATTAGAATTGCAGCTTATATTTGAATAATTTATTTTTATTCTGTTTTTTAGTTATTGGATGGATATTAATTTGATTCATATATGTATTTGAAAGTATTTTTATATACGTGTAAATTTGCATGAAAAAATTAAACTTCAACTTTACATGTAAATTTTTTTGCAGATAGGACAGAATTATAAGCAGTGATTTTATTCGCATCCCAATCATCAAATGAACTAAAATGAAATGTGTGCTGTGATTACGTTTCTATCGTAGCTAAAAAAATTTAATCTAATAGTTATAAGAGGACAACAAAAACCTTGTTTAAAGCTATGACAATCTTCTCGAAAATCTGGTCAAGAAATGCGGGACAGGGTGAAAACAGTGGCTCGGATTCGACGTAGAGCCTTGGTTCTTTGAACAACCTTGAAGAAACGAAATATACACTCGAGAAGTGCGAAACATTCTATTCCCCGTAATTTGGTGGGAATTAAAATCAAATTTTTAGTGGATTTTGATAAAAGTTGATGAAATTTGTGTAATTGAAAAGTTGAGAATTCCGTAAAATATGTAACTAAAAATAATTTTTGACTTTAATTTAAGTTAACATATAGATTAAAATCTCTATCAAACAGCGATATCAAGAATCTAAAGGATGTGATTTTAAACAAACGTGGTAAGAAATTAGCCGCTTTTCACTGGAAAAGTGGGTTGGTACTTGGGATTGATTTGGCCTAGGTTGATGTTGGACTAGCCCTGGCGTTGGGAGGCCTAAAAAAAAAGAAAGGAGTATGGGTGTGCAAAATTTGAATTTGCTTCCGCAATGGCAAGAAATATTCACCGAGGGCTTTTGATTGAGGTACTTGCCTCGTTTTCTTACTTGGTTATCCACGTGTATTTATGTTATAGATATATTTTATGAATTGAATATGGTAGCTATTCATACATGTAATCTGCTATACGTATGCATTGATAAAAGATATCTGTTTTCGTTTTTAGTTCCTTTTTGACATATTATTACGTCGTTGGAAAATATTTAGCCCCCGTTTGGGTTAGCAAAAAAATTTGATAAAAATCTAAGTCCAAGTCAACAATTAATTTTAAGTGACCCATAACTTTTATCAACTTTTCAACCACATATTTCATCACATTTTATCAGAATCTACTAAATATATGATTTTTAGCAAAACCAAACGGGGCTTAATGGGGATCTTGATGATAATTGATATGCATTCAGAACTGAATAATTATAAGCTGCAAAAGGATTGCAATTTTTGAAATCAATGAAAGGGTTCAAGCAGTGAATAGTTTAAGTTGGATTAGGACTATTAAGTAGGCATTTGGTGGTTATTAAAAATAGATTTTTAGTAGATTATGATAGAAGTTTTTGAAATGTGTGGTTGAAAAGTTACGGGACCGATGAAATATGTAGTTAATATTAATTGTTTGACTTTGATTTGAATTAAAATCGGACCAAACATGGGCTAAATGTGTAATAGATTTTGTTGAGAAACATTTGTAGATTGGGTCTATATATTGGTGGAATATATTATTTATGAAGACTGACAGTAAATTTTGTTTACACTTAAATTTACAAATCCAGATATGGCTGCCTACTAGTTTAATAATAATGAGAACTTTGTATCCATCCACAAAGGATATTGGGTTGACATGGATTTTGTTGAGAGTGTGCAATTTGCACATGGATCACATTTGGTTTTTGTTTAGCATCTCTTGCTTTCACAATGTGATGGATATCAATATTGATCTCATATAAATGATACATTTCTTAATGTTGAGCCATTTTCTTAAAATTTACTGCTTTGTCTGACTATGAATACCTGTTGGTGATGTTGGATTTTCATATTTGTCATCCACTGCAAGTAGTGATATCACTGTTCCATTTCGAATTTGATCAATCATATGACTGGTCATCATCCAGTTTTTTTTTTAAGTTTCCAACACCCAAGTTATACTTCGTGGTTTCTTGTATGTTGGTCATTAAATAGATGAAAGAGAATAAAAATGAAAAGAAGGCTGATCGATTTTCCAAATCATCGTCAACTGACTCCTATCTGCTTGTTCTAGATATCGAAGACTTTTAAGGTAATACCTCAACACGTGAGATACTATAGAATTGAAAATCCTAGTGTAGCTGACTAGTGCTGCTATCATGCTGTGTTTGTACCATGTAGGGTGATTTCTCATTTGAAGCCTTGTTTGGGAACTTAGTTAATGTGCTGCTGCCTTCATATTTGGAAGAAGAGCAGATGCTTCAGAAGGGCATGGTGGAAATGATGTTATGAAAAATGGTCATACATGAACTACGTCTGATGCCGGAAGATCAGCACAAGGGCTATTGAGTCCATTATTTCCTGAAGTAGATGCTCTACTATCTTTGTTTAAGAATTCATTATGCAGTTGACTGATCTTAGGGGATAGGTAAATAACTAGAATGATGTGATGTACTTTCCAAACCTCTGTTACCCTCTGAATCATCTTTCTGATTCCGATGCCTGTCCAAAGATTGATCGCAAACTTTACAGTCTCAAAAAGGAAGTTTCTGCGCAAGACTCTAAGAACCGGAAGACACTTTCCCAGGTCAGTTAACCCAGACCATGTAGATATTACTTTAAAATATTTAGTAATAGCCCTTCTAGTGGATTACTACTTATCAAAGATTCTGAGTATTTATTACAAAATCTTTTATCATGCGAAGGTTAAACATTATCTGGCTGCTTGACCTAACTGTTCGGACATGAACAATGATGATTGGACTCTCCTAAGAAATATAATAGCCACGTAATAAAATTCTACTTAGTCGATATTATTGATCAGGCTCTTTCTCACCATACTCGACCTCTAGGAAGGGAATTCCTTGTTCCCATGGCACTTCGAGACCCACACAACAGACATAGAAAAATCCTTATAGCTTTGAATTGAAGATTAAAATTGCAACTCACTTATGTTTCATCTGCGTTGTGGTTCTCTTTGATATTCGAGATCTTGTACCTCACAATGCGAAGCTGGAAAAAGGAGTTGATGGCTTGTTTGGCAGTTTCGCAAGGCTGGATTCACGAATATCAAGTGTCGGACAAACTGCTGCAAAAATTGGAGACCATCTGCAGGTAAAGCTTGTCTAATGCTTAGTTCACCTGATCCTTTTGTTTGGCAATTTGTTTACTATATGATCTATAAACAGTTTACTATATGTTAACCTTTCTAACACTTGATACCTCGCAATTCTGTTGCCAATTTATCTTGATAATTGCTAATTTCTTCCTTAACTGCTTTCCACTATATGTAATTTATCTTATTATAATTGTCAGAGTGCAGATGCTCAGTAGGAAACTGCCAGCCAAACTATAGATCTCATTAAGTTAACTTTAGATAAAGAATAATGCTATTCGTCTAAACTGCTGATGGTCAGCAGTCCAGGTGTTAATTAAATGGTTTTAAATGATTAGATGTCTCAAATATAAGGATAGGGCTCCATTTAAGATGTCCAATCATGTAACTGACACCTAGACTTCAACAGTCTAGATGAATAGCATTACTCTTGGATAATAGGTTCATAAGGGCATCGTTTAATTCTCTGCAGATGACGATCAGATATCTAATGCTCCTCTTGTTTAGCATTAAAATTATTTCATTGATTTCTATCCTGCTATACTTGATGGAGTTCAATAGTAGTCCTGGTGACCTAATGGAAATTTCACCTCTATTTTCTGATGACAGTCGTGTAGCTGAGGCAGCTTCAATAGCGAAGAAATTGAGTACGACCACTGTGCTTTAATGAACATTATAGAATTGTTCATTCTCGGTATTTTATGTTTAGAGAAATATATTATTGGCTTGGAGCTTTCTAAAAAACAACTCAAGTAAAAAAAGCATGATTGACCATCTTTTTAACATCTCAGAACAGAGCAGAGATTGAAATACCATTGTTGTGCCATAATTGATTCATTGACTTTTCACTGGTGAAGGCAATGAAATTTGAATATTTAGGATTGGAACCTGGATGCACTATCAATCTTATTGATGAGCTATAAATAAAATTTTATTTCGTCCCTCCTTTGATTACTAAAGTATGAAGATTGACAAAGTTGATTATAGGATCATTTGCTGAGGAAGACTTTGGAAGACAAGGCATGGTCGTCTCTTCAGCTGTAGGGAATGCAACAGCAAGCCATGGATTGGAAGTTGCAGTTGCTAGTTTTCTAGAATATTGCAATAGTATGTTAATTTGTTGATTATTAATTTACCTTGATTGTAATAGTGGGAGCAGTAAAAACTGTCAAATTTTAGACTAACCTTGATAGTAATAGTAAGAGAACGCTTCAAATATTTTTGTTATCTAATTCTACACTTGTAAGAACTACAGGGAAAGAAGATCATTAATGGATATTTCTAGGTTAATTTATTAGTTTGTGTATAGCTAAAAGTAATGAGTATGAAGCATTTTCAACCAATCTCATGTCTCATCGATCATGTTTTAGCATCAACTTTGTCCTTAATAGAATCTTAACAAATAGATCTTCTTTAAGAATAATAAAGAAAGAGTTAAGGCATCAAATTGTTGAGGACAAAGTATTGTTCTTTCTTTGTGAAGTCAGAGTAGTTCAATACGTGAAATAGAACTCAACACCGCTACTCGAGGATTGACAAGCCTGTACTTGTTACTTGATTAGACTCTCCTAAGAAATATAATAGCCACGTAATAAAATTCTACTTAGTCGATATTATTGATCAGGCTCTTTCTCACCACTCTCAACCTCTAGGAAGGGAATTCCTTGTTCCCATGGCACTACGAGACCCACACAACAGACATAGAAAAATCCTTAGTTTGTGTATAGCTAAAAGTAACGAGTATGAAGCATTTTCAACCAATCTCATGTCTCATCGATCATGTTTTAGCATCAACTTTGTCCTTAATAGAATCTTAACAAATAGATCTTCTTTAAGAATTATAAAGAAAGTGTTTAGGCATCATTTTGTTGTGGACAAAGTTTTGTTCTTTCTTTGTGAAGTCAGAGTAGTTCAATACGTGAAATAGAACACAACACCGCTACTCGGTAAATAAATGTAAAGCGAGATGCGCACTTCATTGTGTATTAATATGAAAAATACATAATGGTTATCTACCTACTGTATATTTAACAAGTAGAACATGATAACATTTCTGGCAGAATTGGCTTAATGCAAATGATGTGCAAATTCAGCAAATTTATATCAACTTCAGAACTTCAATAACATAACAGTTGAACAAGCATCGATCGGTTTCGCTTTACATGAAGCCAGTGAACTGTGTTTAACAATTCGTATTATTCTGCAAAGCACTCAACCCTACCCCCACCCCCATCCCACCCTCAAAGGAAAAAATAAGAGGCGAGCTATGCATTTATGCCCTTTATGTAGTTCCAGCATAACAGTTAAACAAATGTCGTATATTTTAAGATTCATCACTGACATGTTACAGCCAAGATCGACAAATGGAATCACAGTCAAATCTGGATTTAATCACTGTTTTGGAAAATTGCAAACAGAAAACGACTTGAAAACGATAAAGAGAACATGTCTTTAATATTTCAAGAGGCGATCTTCACGAAGATGAAGCGAGGGTGGTTCCCTTCTTCTTATCCACGGCAATCCCAGCTTTCCTTCGATCATCAAGTTTACCTTTATGGTTTCCATCATTTATAGCCTTACTTGTTGTCCCTTGCAAGATTGGAATGCAGTCTGCCCCTGATTTTGCTAACAAGACAATATCATTTTCCGGCACTTGCCTGGGAGTGATACGACGACTATTAATAACCTCAATGAATGCAGCATCATTTTGGTCCCCATTCTGCTCCTTATGGCTGTCAATATGTTCTACCTGATCACCAGCGACATGCAGCCCCACATTGTCCCCCGGTTGATTGCTTTTCTGCCCTTCCATCATCTGGACATCGACTGTGGGTATTTTTGCCATTTTATGCTTGCATCCAGTAGTGGGATGCCCAATGACTTTACAAGAAGCACAAAATTTTGGTTCATGTTCATAACGAATTTCCTGTTCCCGCAGAACTCCATTAGGCAGCTTTATCTTTACTGTCCGCACAAGCTCGGTAGATGCATCCACTTCAACAAGAACCCTCGCATAGGAAATTCTACCTATCGTCGCTGTGAGCTTATCAGTTGAAATAGGGTTCCCAACTTTGGACACAATTTTCGACAATGCTCTCGAGTTCCAAAGCTCCAAAGGTAAGCTCGGTAAATTTATCCAAACCGGCATGTAACTGATTTCTTTGTCATCAAACTCAAAGTAACGGGGCATGGCTTTGAGCATCAATGGCCTACCAAAAACAAAGTAGGGACCCCCATGTAGAACACTAAGTCTATCCGAATTATTCCCAAATTTGAAAACCAACCAACCGCTTGAATGAACAAAGTATTGATACTCCACTTTCCATGAGTTGCACAACTGTAATAGGGCTGATTTTCCGGGAAATCTACCAGCAAAGTATCCAATGAGGCCGTATCCGCAAGCATCCTCAACATTATCCGCATTCGTCTCGCACAAGATCACTTCCCCTGACTGTTGTTCCACAGCTTGTAGCTTAGGGCCATTATCCAATTTTCTATTACTTTTGAAGAGGTCGACCCAAGGGCCTTTTTTCTCCATTACACCATTTGTAGCAGATTCTTTCATTACCTGAGGCTCCCCAACTGAGCTTCCAGAATCTGTATCTTCCTCCCCAAGTGTTTTGGACACACTTGGTGATTCCACTCCACATCCACTTTCCCGAGCATCTTTATCACTGGTGAAATTGCTCTCCTTACCCAATTTTCCAGAATCTTTCCCTGCCTTGATCGAAATTCCAGCCTGCAGTTTGCTGGATTCCAACGTTGATTGCTTAAGAGTGCATGAGGCCTGATCATTACCAAGGCCCGCCATTCCTTTCTCAATCTGCTGGGTGTTGTTAAAATCAGCCTGGGCCAAAGTGGCCTTATCCAGCCCACTAGATTGGGCCTTAGAAGGAGCAGCATTATCCTCACCTGTTTGCTGGATATTCTTATTAATATCCTGGGTTGGGCCACCAGAATTTATAAGTAGAGGAGGTACATTAAGATGGGCCTTTTTCCTTCCCATAATAAGCTGAAAAATAAGGGCCCAAAAGCCTAAATAAATAAGGTTGGACCAGAAAGGCTAAAGGGCCCAGGAGACGGTAACAAAGAAGTCCCAACGGTAAACCCAAGTCCAGTAAACTGACCAAAGGCTGAAAAACCGCAAAGCTGAAAAGGAAACTGAAATTTGCAGGCTATGACCAAGATTTAATGCTGAAAATACGGTAGATCAGATGGCCAGTATGTGACAACTCAAAAATAAAATATAATAATATTATTATTATAGTCCAAAGTAAGTCACTAGGCGTTGCAAAGCAGTCAAACTCACTGCAAAACCACTATCCACTATGCAAAACTAATATATATGAAATATAATCTGAAAACCACCTGTAATGGAGGAAACCAATACCACCTATGCAAGAAACTTGAATCTCGATTGAACGAAGTTGTCCCAGAATTAAACTGCACCCAGAAGCTAAACAGAAAACGGGCAGACACCCAGAAACACCCCAGGCACCGGCAAAGCTCAAGTAAGGTCCGACCAAAACCCAACCTGAATCTGAACGTCCAAACTTGCAAAACCAAGTCCCGTTGCAACAAAATACTTGCAGCTTCAAGGATGAAGATGAAAACTGTTCAGCACGAGCCAGGAAAATCGGAAGGAATAGACCCAGTTGGTCCGCCTGAAACCAACTGGACGACCACCCAAACCAGCTGGGCTCCCCGCCGGGAGGACGCTGAGCCTTGGAACCCAACAGTCAAAACAGCCTCCTGGATTTTGCAACTAAACCACCGTGGAACCCAGAAAGCTGTCCACTAACAGATTCCCAAACAGAAACTGTCCATAAATGAAAAGAACAGAAACTTCCCAAGAACCTGAAACTGGCCAAGCTCGACTGAGTGTAGAAACCGAAACAGCACCAAAAGAAACTTTGAAAACTGAAGACGTAGCTCTTCAGTCCATAACTCTGGCCCAAACTGAGCGGAAATCCAGTCCTCCCAGTGCACAATCTGAATCCTTAATGAACCGCGAGAAACTGCACCAAGCAAAACACAAGAAAACCACCCAGCTGCCTTGGAATCTGACCAAACTGAACAAGAACTTGTAATATGAAATGCTGAACTCGATTTCACCTGAATGATTAAGTAAAATCAAGCAAAAGAACCATGAAAACTCAAGAAATCAAGAGGCACCGAAGTGAGACTTTCTCTCACTAGAGTTCAGAGATTCTCTCTCTAGCCACTTTGATTGACTGAGAGCTCTTTTTTTTGTCTACAGATGGTTTTCATATTAGAACCTTGGGAATTCAAATTTCAAATGAGCAAATATTCTTGGCTCGGCTCAAAGCGAAGCCCAAAAACAGGATCACAGGCCGGCCCGCGGTATCGGGTTGATTCGGGCCGATTTTCACGAATCGGTCGCTCGTCTGTCTTGACACCTCTACACACAACAGTGGGTGGGGTGGGGGGGTTTGCCAATATTTTAATTACATGGGGCCCACCTCGTAAGAGTGAAATTCAAAATTCTGTATCAATTCTGTATTTTTTTTTGCGGCATTATTCTTCATATTATGTTTGGTCGTTAATGATTAACATGACTGTAGTGATGCAATAACTGATGCTGGAGCAGGAGGGTCAGTTTCTCTACAATTATTGGCAGGTTCATTTGTCTGTCGAAAATGAGTTGTCAAGCAATAGGTATAGGTCTGTATAGTTAACTGCTTTATGGAGAAAAACTACCCTGCTCATAGCGGCTGCCACATATTTTTCTCTATTTTTTTGTTTTTTTTTCCCTTGAGAAAGATGGTTATACTCAGTTTACACCTCATTGTATAACTTGGTACTGCCCACAGGCATTCACCATAAGCAAACAGTGTAAGTCCCAATGTATCAACCATGGAAGATATTGTGCTCCGGACCCCGAACAAGATTTCAGCTCTGGTTATGACGGAAAAGATGTAGTTCTTGAGAACTTGAGGCAGCTATGTGTGTTTAAAGTGGCCAACGAGAATAAAAAGCCATGGGTTTGGTGGGATTATGTTACTGATTTTCAAATAAGATGCCCCATGAAGGAAAAGAAATACAACAAGGAATGTGCTGAGGGTGTTATCAGTTCCTTAGGTAATTATTTGCCTTTCTTTTATTGATCTCAATCACTATCGATGGACAATTATATGTCACTGTTGCTCACATGCAGGACTTGATCTGAAAAAGATCGAAAAGTGCATGGGTGATCCTAATACTGACTCAGACAATCCCGTTCTGAAAGAAGAGCAAGATGCTCAGGTGAGTGTGTGTACTTATCTATTTTGCGAAACCATATCAATGTTTCCCTTATATGTTTTTATTTAAACTTCTTATGTGATGGTAATAGTGCAAAATGTCTGAGATTTGTAGATTGGGAAAGGATCTCGTGGTGATGTAACCATATTGCCCACCCTCGTTGTCAATAATCGTCAATATCGAGGTCTGTCTGTTTATTAAAGCAGTTTTGTTGAGCAGCATGCATATAATTTTCTCTGATATATGATCTTTGCAGGGAAGTTGGAGAAAGGAGCTGTTTTAAAGGCTATTTGTGCTGGTTTTGAGGAAACTACAGAGCCATCCGTTTGTTTGAGTGGTGGTGAGATACTTAATTCCATAATATTGCAAATTTTGGATGATACGAGATTTATGATGTGTTTGAGCCACATTATTTTGGAAGAATATATTTTGAAATAGTAGATTGTGGAGAATGTGTAATAAAAAGGAAGGAAAATTTATTGACGTGATAGAAAAAATTAATTTATTGAGACTTGAAGTACGGTAGTCTTAATGAACCACGTTTCTGTACTATCGTGAATAAATAGGCGTCATTCTTTTATTTTGTAGAACACGATCTATAATATACCTTTATGCAAATCCTAACAGTGGACTATTATCAATATGTATCATTTGTTTGCATCATCGACTCTCAAAGAACTCTTTCACATTTACTTCTCCCAAACCCTCCCCGCCCTTCTTTCATATAGTATAGACAAAGTAGAAAAGAGGTATTCTTTCATTATAATTATTCTTGATGGCCCTTTATATTTGTGTTATGGGAGAATCGCAGTGGGGTCCTTAACTTTTGTGAAAATTGCAAATGGTCCCAAATAGGTATGTTCGGTGAGTCGGCTCAACCTCGCTTTGGGGTGAGCCAAGTATTGGTCGGCTTGCTTGAAGAAAATGTCACTTGGCTTGCCCCCAGGTGGGGCTGGAGAACCGCTCATTTTTTTCTATTAAAAATCCAAATATTTTTTTTTAGCTTCTTGGCTTCTGGACAAGCCAGACGAGCTATTGAGTGGCTCATACGGAAGTAACGGAACCCTACACGACTTGCCACATCACTCGCCTCTTGGGCGAGCCGATCCTGCTCGGCTTGTGTGTCGCCCCACTTAACATTCGTAGTCCCAAACCCTTCTTTTTTGGCACTGTCCTCCCGAACCTCTGGGCAAAGTGCTAGGACTTTACCAGATTTTACATGGGCAAAAATGTCTATCCACATTTTCTCACTTAAAATGGTAAAATCAGTGATTTCTAAGGAGTTGAGTTGCTAGAGAGAAATCGGTCAGGTTAATTGGTCCATTGATTTCAACCATGCTGCCCCCTCCTGCAACGTCATTCGCTAATTCATGTTAGCACACGCAAATAATTCCTCCGCCATTTCTTGAAAGATATTTGAGGACCTGCAATGTCATTCGCTAATCCATGTTAGCACAACCAAATAATTCCACTGCCATTTCTTGAAAGATATTTGAGGTTTGGTGTGTGGTTGATGTTGGTGTTGGGAAGGTGAGGTGAAGGTGAAGGTGAAGATTTTTCTTTTTGTTTTTTAAATTCTTTTCTTTCTTCTATTTTCATAAACATTGTGTAATTATTAATTATCCACCATTTGAACGGAATCTGTATAAAACCTCGCTCTGCATTATTACCCTAAGAGGTTTGAGATAGTGGTGTTCGAAAAGGTTAGGGACACTTTCTTTTTCTTTGTTTTAGATAACTTCCATCTCTCTTCTGGCGTCACTTCTCTGAAGTTGTAAAACTCTGCTTTTCGGTCTTATTAAATATTAGCGATTAATGTACAGTTATTTTAGTCTTAACTCTTTCCTCCCACCTACAGAAAGCAAGTAAATACATAAATGAAGATCAACTGAAATTTGAAAGGAAAGGAAAAACTTTCTATATGCCACAGCCCATGAATTTAATTCTTTGAGTATACCTAAACTCGGTACCAGATCCAGATTCAGTTGCACACAGATCTTGCTTTGAATATCTAGCAAAGTATGATGCCTCGTGTTTGTCTTAGCTTTAAATAATCCTTCTTCAAGCATATCAAGTTACTGTGATTAAACTGTATCTTAACTATGTTTTCCATGTGCAACAAGTGGGCTCGGACGGTGCAAAAATCAATAATGGAGGCTGTTGGCATGAAACCTGAAATGGAATTACTTTCTACGCCCGCATCGTCAGTATTTTTTTTTTTTTTTTTCATTTTGCTTAAATTCTCCCCAATAAAATTTGGTTCTGAAAGAAATCTTAAAAAATATTTCAACGGGATAATGAAGAAGGAAAATGCACTTGTCCTCCTGGATTTAAAGGCGGCGGTGTTAAAAGTTGTGAAGGTCAGAGATTTAGTTTGAACTGAATTATGAAAACTGATTCATGTAGATGCACCCAATTTATTATGATCGAGGCTTAGCTCATATTTTATATCCTATATTAACAGTATAGCAAGTTGTTGTCAAAATCTTTGTTTAATCAGGCTCAATTTTAAATTGTATCTGGTAAAATCCTGCAAAAGCTGGTACCTGCTCAATTTTAGTGCTCGCTTGGTTTACCTTAAAAAGTTGATGTCAAAGTTAACCACACATTTTATGGGATTATAACTTTTATCAACTTTCCAACCACACATTTCATCTAACTTTTATTACAATCTGCTAAAACTTTTATAAAAGGCTTTGTCAAACAACCCTTTATTATGCTGGAACTACCGGTCACTGGTGTGAAGTTGAATGTAAGTTTTCGTGTAACATGGCATGCTAACCTTTGGAAGAGGTATTAAGGTGATCCAAATGGTGCTATTCAAGAATGAGATAATGAAAGGATGGCTACATAAATGGTATAAAAGTGGAAATTTAAAAGTAAATGAATGGATGGTTAAATAAATTGCATGTGTGGTACGCAATACTCAAAAGGATTGGACATTATGCTAAATGAGATTTCAATGTCTTTTACACTTGTAATACTATCTAGTACTATTCATTCCTCTACCAAATAAACCAAAATGTTATAATACTAGTGCTAACGGATCAAGCATTTCTTGATTACTGCATAAATTGTTTCCTTATTAACCGCTGATCTTGTATAATTTCTTCTACCCATACAGATATTGATGAATGTAAAGAAAAGAAAACTTGCCAATGCCCTGAATGTAGCTGCAACTGCAAGAATACATCGTACAGTTATGATTGTTCATGTAGCTGGGACCTGTTGTATATCCGGGACCACGATACATGCATAAGTGAGATATCTTGCAAATTTTTGTTGCTTTGTGTATGCTTAAACAGTGCACATGCAATATCCTGTTTGCATGTGCAGGTAAGAGAGCTACTGAAGTAAAATCTGCTTGGGCAGTCAGTGGCGGACCCAATGAAGGCCCAATGCAGGCATCTGCCTGCACTGGACTTGGGTCACCCCATTTAGTGGTTGGTGTTGCTTGGCTAGCTGAAGGTTTTTCAATTCTCTGCTTGAAGATTGGCATGCAGGCTTGCACTTGACTTGGGTCACCCCATTTCGTGGTTGTCGTTGCTTGGCTAGCTGAAGGTTTTTCCATTCTCTGCCTGAAGATCGGTGTGCATGTTATCTCTGGTTATGCTCTACAGTTTTCATCTTCATCCTTTGAAGGTTGTAAGTATTCTGTGTGTATATGTGCTGTTTGTTTTCGTTTAAATTTGAATTACAAAGTACCTGCCCGTCATACTACGAATCACGTCAGGGACAGCTTGCTGTGGTTGTTCAATTTTTGTCAGCCAAACATTCCATTTTTGGTCAAAATATATATGTTTAAACACAGTAGATTTTACCTTGCATTGATTTACCTTGCTTGTGGTCTTCTGTGTTTTGTTGGCTTGTTTTTGGTGGTTGTTTGCTTGTGCTTTGGCCAGTGAGAGTGGCGGACGAGGTATGGCCGAGGGTCGTATGGCTGGCCTCTGATGTGGAGGTGGTGGTGGTTCGTACGCGAGCTGGGTCTTCATTTCGTTGGGTCTCGTGTTGTCGGAGCTTGAGGGTGGTGTGCCATCGGGGCTGCCGGTGGGTCTTTGAGTCTAGTTTTTATTTTATTTTTTTCTGTTGTGTCGATGTTTGGTGGTGTTATTATTGTAGTTTTGTTTATATTTGTGTTGTTTTGGCTCTTGGACTTTTGAGTGCAATGTTGAGATTCTAGCTTTATAGAGTGCTTTCTCTCTCTTCAAAAAGATTCTGAAGTTTAAACAATGTCTGCCACTTTGTGTGCGGGAGTGCTCAAGTGCAGTTTGCGTAGGTTGGCTTATAGTCGGGTTTCCTGTACTGATGAGTCTCATTTGTAACTTCGTTGTGTTGAATGAATGTTTCATTCGATTTCCAAAAAAAAAAAAAAGTAATGCTATGGATAATGGTTTCGTAACTCTGCATAGCACTTTGTATTATAACGTTGCTGTTGTTTTTTACTTCTTTTTTTTTTTTTTTTACCTTTGCTAATGTCGCCCGCACTGAAAATATTTCTTGGGTCCATCCCAAGTTGGGCTGCTGTTTGGGTTATTTTGATTGGATTGGCAATGGCTAGTGGCGGGGGATATCTTGTATATAAATACAGATTAGGGTAAGTTTCCTATGCACAATTTTTTGCGTAACCATGGTTTTTGCATCTAACTTTGACCATGAAAGTTTGAAGTTTCTGGAAGAATCTTGGTGGTCACTCTCTCTTTTTGGTTGTCGAAATATAATTAATTCTTAAACATTATTAGAGTAAACATGTTCATAACATAGTTCTACTGAAACTTTCAACAATGTTAAGCAAAATTAAGGTTCTATTGCAAATTTTATGGTTTCAATTTCCGTATCTTCTGAAATTGAAATGTTCCAAATCTTCAGATAGAAATTTCTAGGCTGCAACTCTAACCAATTTATGTGATATAACTTGGAAAGAGCATGAAACTCTTATTTATCATTTTCTCTTTCTTTCTGTGGGAAGAGAAAGACCGTCTCTCTTGTTCTTTTGTTAAACATGTGATTTGATGTTGTGAGGGTTCAAGCAGGGACTCATCAATTAAATGGGCTTAAATCCATCCCTGGGTTCAAGTACAAGTTTTAACATACCTTCATTTTCAACCACGTTCCCCCTAAATCCGTCCCTGGGTTCAAGTACAACTTTGAAGATACCTTCATTTTCAACCCTTGCCTATAAATTGGCATTTAAGCTCTTATTTTGGAACTTTAGTCGGTTCACCCACTACTGCTTTCATAGAGATAGAGAGAAGGGATGGAGGCTGACTCGAAGTTTCTATCGTAAACATATGACAGAATTAATTCGATACATTTGTTTTTTTTACCCAATATTTTTGTGCAAGTCATCTCGGGTCTTTTTAAAAATATAAATTTGGGATATCAATTATGTAAGGAGGCCATTTTGTTGTTCTTTTATGTTTGTTTGTTATTAGTTTGGGGTAGGGGAGTTCATTAAAGCATGTTTCTTAGTCTGTTATACATAATTGAAGCCTTTCTGTTGTTTGTTTAATCCTAAACCAAAATATTTTTGCATGTTCTTACACTGGGTTGCATGTTCAGTCATACATGGACTCAGAAATTAGGGCTATAATGGCACAATGCATGCCTCTAGACAGTCAAAATGAAGTTTCAAATCATGTTAGCGACGATCGTGTACCGATTTGCAATGTGAATCTTTGAATTGTTGAAGTTTCTTACTAATTTGGAAACGAAGGTCACCTCTTGGGATTCCGTGTACCGATTTGCAATGTGAATCTGCTCTCGTACAGGCACGTTAAGTGTCGAGGAATTCCTTCCTAGAAGAAGAAAAGAAAATATTTGTGTATTGCACCATTATTATGGTTCTTCAAGGACTAAATTCATTCAAAAAAAGGAAGTGATTGCATTTTTATCGCAAACCGACCAACAGACGTTGTTGTCGCCCTCCTTAACCTCTCACACAGTGGGTAAAACTCACTGCACCAGTCTAGCTGCGGAAGCCATAGAATGATGAGAAGCCTGCCTGCTGCCATCACAACATGAGTAGCTTGTTTTTGTTAATTGGCAGTGGTTGGCTATATCATTTAATTGCAGTTTTGAACGATGAATAGATTTAGGGTGCGTTTGATTGCAAGAATGAAATTTAGATGAAAAGAAAATGAATTTTAGAGAATTAAATTGCCTAGAATTCACTTTACTGAGAATTGTTAATTAATTGTGTTTGATTGGTACAAATTTTCTACCTGGAAAATATTCAAATTTTGGATCTTTTGGTATTGATTTGACTTTATTTTTATTGTCTATTAAAGGAATATAATTTGTTATAATTGGAAATATAATTTGTTTGAATTGTCAAAAAAAAAAAAGAATTGAAATTGAAAAAATTATAATAGGCCCTTCTAATACAAAAACTGAGGTTCGTTTCCTGCTCTCCTCATTGGCTCATCCGTCTTCTCCTGGCAACAAAACTAGCACCACCAGTAGGGGCAGCAACTGCTACTGCAGCACCAGCTCCAACGTTCGTGACAAGGTACTCAATGTTTGGTTGTTGGTGGAGCGTAGCAAAAAGGATTGGCCAGTACAATTTGAGCTAAATTGACGAAGACCCATATATGTATATTGTCCGTCATAATGATGAGGAGGTAATGGTGGTGGTGCACAACCGAAATTTGGGATGAACTGTGCGTGGTTCGCTACATTCGAACTGGTATGGAATTGAACTTGATTTAAATCGTTTCTTGATGATATGGGACCATGAAGCTGCTCGCTGTGATAAGTATTAGGGCCTATAATGGAGTGTGGCCGTCGGTATTGGAGAGTTGGCCGGAATTGGTGTTGAAACGGTGCATGAAGGCTTGATTTTGAGCCCAAATTTCATTTTGGAGGTGTTATGTCCGGTTTTTGGTATGAAATTGAAGAGTGGAATGAAGACATGTTGACGGTGTGAAAATCCGATGGTTTGTCCGGCGGCATACTGGATGAATTTGGAGTAGAAGGTGCCGGTGTAGTGGATGAATTTGGTTGCAATTCCCACTTGCCAAGAAAACAAAAACCTTGCTGAATCATGGGAAAACCAATTCCAGTATTTTGAGGAAAAGAGGGTCACGTGCTGGTAAAATGGAAAATGTTTTGCCTGGAAAATATATCATATCAGACAACTAAAAAGTTGGAAAATGGTGGGAAGTTTTCCATCTTGCCTGGAATTTAAGGCCTATCAAACAGGGTCTTATAGTATTTGGTAATTACAATAATTTATGTAAATAGAATATATAAAATAATAAACATATGATTTCATGGTAAAGAATGGTGTGATGTTTAATTTATGCTATCTACCAATAGATTGATGTATCACGTCATCCCATGTTCTTCGAAGATTATATGCTAAACACCGATGACGGGTTACATTAATTCACTGATGGGTTATAAATTTATTTCAAATGTTGAGACCCATCAAAGTTTTATCTATCAATGAATTGATAAGACACGCACTTAGCATAAGATTAATATTGATACAATTAATTTCAGAAGAAACGTTATAAACTTCAGATTAACTCGTGAAAGATTTTACATGCAAGAATTTGTTTAAACAATTTCAGGTAAGCCCCAATCATTAAATGGGCTAAAAACGAAATAATTGTGATTTTGTTGCCTAACAGCAAATTTTTTTTTATTTTTTTATTTGGGTATAATACTAAGTCATGAATTTGATAGTTAAGATTCACTTTGTCATCTACACACGTGCAAATGAGAAAGTACGCGTGTTAAAATAATTTATATTTACTCGTTGATGAAATGTTATGCCCTATATATTCTTAGGACTCGTGAAAGAAAAAAAAAGTTGATTGTTTAATTTAAGGAAAGTTTTTACAGATACTATCAGTCTAAGGTAACTAAGGCCCCGTTCGGGAGGGATTAAAAGCCAATTAAAATTGAAAATATGGCCGTTATTGGACCCCACTCATCTAATAAAAGTCAACAATAACGGCTATATTTTCAATTTTAATCTGATTTTAATCCCTCCCATACAAGCCCTAAGTTCTGCTGCAATACCAAAGCTTCAAAATTTAGTCGTACAAGCTGAAGAACAT